GCAGCAGGGGAGACAGCAGAGGTCTACCCATGTGGGTCAGCTCCCTGGCTGGGACAAGCCTCTTGGCAGGTGATAGCTTGATAGCACTTAGACTTTAACCCCCTGTACCCCCAGAGAGACCTTGAAATCATCAATCTTTCTGTATTTTGTTACTTAGAAATATTGTAGTCTATATTATCTTGCACTTTGAATCAATATTTCACATACAATTTTCTTACATAACGTAAAACATTTAATTCATTTAGTTATGCCGAACTTTCATATCTAATACTTTTTTAACATTAAAAAAATCCATTTATTACGATCACCAATAGTCTCACCAGGTAAATCTGAAAATATTGGGAAATTATCCATGCAACAATATGTGTATTTTCCCAAATGACTACCAGGATAGGGATAATTCCCCAGGGCTGCCTGCTCCTGAATCCCTGGAACATGAGAACATGTTATATGGCAATAAGGTATTAATTCTATAACAAACTAACTAGCAAATCAGTTTACTTTAAAATTATGAGATTATTCAAATCCAATATGATTATAGTGGTTCGTGAAATTGGAAAAGGCAGAGAAGAATTCAGATTGATGTGATGGGAAGGAGACTCAACTCATGTTCCTAACTAGAAAATGGGAAGTAGACCATCAGCCAAGGAGATAGTCTCTAGAAATGAGAAAAGGTAAAGAAATGAGCGAGTCTCCAAAGAGCTAAAAAGGACTGCAGCCTTGCTGATGATATGTCTTACCCTAGTGAGATCCATTTCAGACTTCTAATATAGAGAACTGTAGGTGATATATATGTTGGAGCAACTGAGACCAATTAAATCTATGTAGCCTGACAAGGTCCTTTATTTATTTATTTTTTAAAAAAAGGATTTATTTATTTATTTATTCATACAGAACTGGGTGCAGGCCAGAGGTGCAGGGGCAGTGAGAGGATTCACCAGAGACAGAGTGGGGAGCAGAATAGGCAGGTGGATGAAGTACACTTCTAAGGGGAGCAGTGTGTGGGTCAGGAGAGGTCTGCTGCACTATGCGGGTCACCTCTGGGGTAGGTGGAGATCGAACTCATGCTGAAGTGGCTTTGTGGCTTTCTTAGTGTTGTACTTTAACCTGCTGTGCCACCAAGGAGGGCCCCAGACAATGTTTTCTTACAAAAATAGTTTTGAACTTTTTAAACCCCCCAAAAAATACTATACCTTTGTATCATACTTTGCAATCTCTTTTTTAACCTTTCATCGTACTTTTTCTATGTCAGCAAATCGGCTGGGTACTGGGATGCAAAAGTAGACACTGTCCCTGTCTTCAGGAGGTTATGTTCTGATGGTTGAGAGAGATACAACCGAATCAAAAATTGCAGTGTGACAAGTGCCATAAATGATCTACTGAGATTGTGTCAGTAGTACCAAGTACACTGAAGAAGGAAAGATATCTCTTATGTTTTCAGAGTAGTGGGAAAAATCACGCAGTTATTATAAAATGTAAAATGAAGGGGAGTTTTGATTTCTCAACATCCTTCACAACACATTACTATCTTTCTGTGAGTGTAGTCATTTTAGTGAGTTATAAAGTAGTCTCTCCTGTGGTCTCAGTTTGCATAATTATATTTTGTACTTATTGAACATTTGTATATCATCTTTGGTGAAATGTTTATTTTTACTCAAATACTTTACCATTTTTTAAATTGAATTATTTTACATTTCATTGTTGAGTTGCAATAGTTCTTTATAGTTTCTAGGATACCATCCTCTTATCAGGTACTTGATTTCCGAATATTTTCTCCCATACTTTTGTTGTTTTTTCCATTTTGTTGATAGTGTCCTTTAAAACACAATGGTTTTTTTGTTGTTTTTATGAAGCCCAATTTATGTTTTTTACTTTATTATTTTATCAAAGAAACCATTCCCTAATCTAAGATCTAGAAGATTTACACCTATGATTCCTTTTTTATATTTTATATATCTTAGCACTTATATTTAGGTGTTTGATCAATTCTGAATAAATTTCTTTTATCATTTGATGAAAGAGTCTGGTTTCCCTCTTTTGCACATTGGTTTCCAGTTTTCTCAGACTAATTTTTCCTCTTTGAATTTTCTTGAAACCCTCATCAAAAATCAATTCAATACTGTATGGATTTATTTCTGGATTCTCTATTCTATTCCATTGATTGCTTATGCCTATTTTATGCCCATTTTACCACACAGTCTTGATTGTTATAGCTCTGTAATAAATCTTTACAGAAGGGAAATTTGAGATCTCTTACTTTGTTCTTTTCTTTCAAGATTGTTCAGGCTATTTTGGTCTCTTGCATTTCCGTATGAATTTTAAGATCAGTTTGTTAATTTCTGCATAATTGGCAGCTGAGATTTTTTTGTTTTATTTTGTTTTGTATTTAAATAATACTATATTTTCTGAGTTGTTTTTTTTTTAATTTTAGTTATTTATGCATACAGAATTGGGGTACAGGCCAGAGGTGCAGGGGTGGTGAGAGGATTCATCAGAAACAGTGGGGAGCAGAGCAGGCATATTGCCAAGTACACTGCTGAGGGGAGCAGTAGGTGAGACAGGAGAGGACTGCTGAGCCCTATTGATCACCTCTGGGGCAGGGATCGAACCTGCACTGAAGCAGACACAGCTTGACTTAGCTTCCCAGTGCAGTGTTCCAACCTCTGTGCCGCCAGGGAGGGCCAGCAGCTGAGATTTTTAATAGGAATTGTTTTGCATCTGTAGATTTTTTTTTGAATTATTGCAATTTTAAAAATATTAAGTCTTCCAATCCATAATCATGAATTTTCCTTTTATTTAGGTCTAATTCATTTCTTTCACTGATTTTTGATAGTTTTCAATGGACAAGCCTTGCACATTTCTTTTAAAGTTTTTCCTAGATATTTTATTCTACTTGATGCTATTATAAATAGAATTACTTTTCTAATTTAATTTTCTAGTTTTCAATAACTAGTGTATAACAGTACAATTGATTTTTTTTTTTTAAGATTTATTTGTGCATACAGAACTGGCGTACAGGTGACAAAAGACTTCAACAGAGACAGAGTGGGAAGCAGAACAGGCAGATCGACAAAGTACACTGCTGAGGGGAGCAGCAGGAGGGTCAGGAGAGGTCTGCCACGCCACGTGGTCACTTCCGGGGCAGGAGGGAATTAAACTCATGCGGAAGTGGTTTCAGCTTCTTAGTACAGTGCTTTTACCCACTGCGCCACCAGGGAGGACCACAATTGATTTTTATTAATTATTCTAACCTGCTAACTGTTGAATGTATTAGATCCAATATTTGGGGTGTTTGTTTAGAATTCTCTTAACTTTTTATTTAGAAGATCATGCCATTTATAAGTAAAGGAAGATTGTTCTTCCAGTATGGGTACCTTTTTTTTGCTTTTCTTGCCAAATAATTCTGACTAGAACTTCCAAGATTGAATAGCAATAGTAAAAATGGGCATTTTTGTCATGTTCCTGTTCTTAAGGAGAAATATTTCAGTCTTTTACCATTAACTATGATATTGGCTGTGGGGTTTTTATATTCTCTATCAGGTTGATGAAGTTTTCTCCTATTCCCAGTTTACTGAATGTTTTTATCCTGAAAGGGTGGTGGACTTTGACACATTCTTTGCTGCATCTACTTAGATCATAATGTAGTTTTAGTCCTTTTTTCTATTAATAAGTTATTATGATAGTGATTCATTTTCCTATGATGACTTAACCTTTCCTTACTGGAATAGACCCCAGTTAATAATGGTGTTTCTATAATTCTTTTTATGTGCTGCAGGATTTAATTTGCTAAGATGTTGTTAAGTGCTTTTCTTTTATAGTTTCATTTTCTTGTGATTATTTGTCTTTTTGATACCAGAATAATATAAACATTAGAAAATGAGTTGGAAATTACTCCTTTTTTTCTGTTTTTTTTTTTTTTTGATGATGCTTTGTGAAGAATTGGTGTTATTCTTTAAATCTTTAGTAAAATTCTCTAGAGAAACCATCTGACCTTTCTTGTAAGACAAGATATAATATTAAGTATAAAGTATAGACCTTGGAATGAAGAAGTAAAATGCTAGTTGTCCACATAGTAAAATTAAAGAGTTTAACAGGTGTCCTGGATAAATATATCAATATACAAAAACTACAGAATACATTCACATGTAAACAAAAATGAAAATACTTTTGCAAAAACATATTATTTAGAGTAATATTCAAAATATAAAGTGCATAGGAATACATCAGCCATAACAAGAGATATATAAAATCCCCATGGGGAAAATAATAAAGCATTATTGTGTGACAATAAGACCAAAATAAGTGAAATAATATATAATACACATGGTTTAAAAAAATCACCATTTTACAGGTGCTGAATTTGATCCAAACAATCTCAATGAAATCTCTAAGTGTCTGTTTTAGTGGGGGAGGGGAGAATACTTGACAAAGATTCTCAAGCTATATAAAAATATAAAAGACCAAGAACCAACAATAACACCAGTTTATTCTGGTGCAGAAAAGGTAAATACACTGGCAGAAAGTGGACAGACTATTTGGGAACTTGTTAGAAATACAGACTCTCAATTCCAGGCTCAGGTCAATGGAATCAAAATCTGTTTTCACTGGATAGCCCAGAAGAATAAGGAAAAAAATGTTTTTAATAAACAGTTCTGGAACAAGTGGAAACTAAATGGCAGAATGTATTAAAAGATATTATTTTATAAAGGTATATCTTGCTCTATTTTATTTACTTTAGGAATAAATGATGACTGAAAATAAAGGAATGTTTTGAATATATATTTTCCTAGATACTTCTATTATGGTTGTCTTATCAATCTTCTTGTTAATAAGCTTTTCTTCAGAATCTCAGTTTCTTTCTGCATTTCCAGCACCATTTCTCAAGCCTCCATGACATAACTTCATGATAGTACTGTCACTACTAATGGAGATACCAAATGTTATGATTATGCCCTCCTCTCTCTGTGGCAAGGATAAAGCTTTGTCTAATTGTTTTCTAGGTATGTTTCATGTATTTTGGAAAATATTCTCTGACAATAGCAAAAGAAAGGGTCAACTCTTCTAGGACAGCTTGTGAGAAAATAATTATCCTACTTGGGATTAGAAGACCAGCTCATTCTTAGACTTCAAAAAACAAAATTAGGTAAGAAATGTTTGTCTTCATACTTTGAATAATTTGTACTCTGCCTACACCGTTTTCTTGAAAGCTTCTGTATTCTTTTCCTTTGGCTTCTCAGAGAAATACGGTTAGCATTTTCCTTTAGGAAGTTAGCATGCCAGCCAGCTGTCAGCCTTGTGATGTACCTGATCTCCCATGTCAGGGGAAGCACAATTCAATTTGAAACTAAGTCTTCAGCACAACAGTGCAGCAGGCATGGCAGCATCTTTCTTTATGTTCTATTCTTTGAAATTCTCCCTTCTATCTAAATAATATAGCTTTATTTTTAAATCCTTTGTGTAAGGTGAAACTCTACTAACTGATTTTACCTGTCTTTCATTAAAAATCAATGAAATGAATGAAATAATCTGTTTTTGCTACCCTCTCTCATTTCTAGAAAATAAAGTACCATTGCTTGTTTCACTTATGACTTATCTAAACATGCTGAAAGGCATAACAATCAGACTCTGAAAGAGGACTGTGACAAGCTCAGTCAAAAGGGAAAAGAGGAATAATTTATAAAAGGCGCCGCAGCTAATGATGCCAAACAGTTATTTTAAAATGCATCCATCTCACCTTTTAATGAATTAGATTTGTCAACAGCAAATGTTTTATGCACCACTCCTAATAAAAGTGGCACTCGAGGCTTGCAGGTGCTTTGAGGTTGCCTTCTTCAAAGCATTGGAGTATCTTCAAGTCAAAGATATTTTTAAAATAATATATATTAAAAAGTATATTTAAATAATATTAAGGTTGTGACACAAACACCAAATGACAAAATTCGGGAGTTTCAAAGCAGAGGCTGTCATTCCATCACTGTTTTACATAGTAACTTTCTGAAATCAGGAGTATAACAGGCTGATTTGGGAATTATGTGCTAATTTAACTTTAAATTTTCTTGGCGTTTGTTTGGTGTCAAAACCTTAATGCAACTTTTCAAATTGGTTTCTACATTTCCTTTGGTTTGGGGTCATTAAAAAATGCATATGATAAATCCAAGAGGCATAAATAGTGGAATTCCTTGCTCTGGTGTTGAGAGACAACTAATACCTGCCTTTTAAGTGGAAAAATTAGCTCAGGCATTTTGGTAAATTTTTGTTTTTCAGGAATTTGATTCAGACCAGTATAAACCCAAATAACGAGCATGTTAGTGTAGTTCTCATCATATTCCATTTTTTTTATACCTCTATTTGTGATCAATTTGTTGATTATCACCTTTATAGACATTAAAAATCAAAGTTCCCACAATGTCATTAAAATTACAAATGAAATCTTATAATTATTTCTATTTAAGCATCCTTATTTGGTGTATTGAGTGTACATGTGTCCTGCCTTAAAAACTTACACAAAGCAGTCCTTGATATGAAGCACTTCTATGCAAATTTTTTAAAATCTCTTTTTTAAAATAACATTTATTAAAGCAAGTACAATGTCAAGTAATATCTCATATGCTGTGTTTTGTATCAAAAATTAAAATTCTAGTACCTTACTAGACATTACACGTGCAATATACAAAATTCTCTGGCAGAGAAACAAAATATTCTCTTCAAGTATTCCTTGCCAAGCAATCTTCATGTAAATTCATTTAGATCAGTTTTAGATTTATGTATTTAATAGAGCTGGGTTGTGGATCTAACTTACATATTTAATACCCTTCAATCATCTGTTATATCTGTCAATTCTATAAGTAGCTTTCTAATAATATACAATAAATGCTTTTAATAGTTGTCTATAATACTCAGAGATAATATTTGTTGAATGCCTTTCATATGCCAGCAACTGTTCACAGTATTATCCATGGATTATCCCATATAATCCTCATAACAAACCTTTATTGATCTCACTATTAGAGATGTGGTAAAGGCACACAAGGTAGTTACACTGGTAGGTAATGGAATTGAGATTTAAATCCAAGCATTGTGACTCCTGACATCATACCCTTAAATCCTATCCTACTACTCAAAATATGGCTTTGGTCAGTGGTATCAGTGTTACTGCAGAATGTGTTGGGAGTGCAGGCTCAGGCTCAACCTCATACCTAGTCAGTCTGCACTTTAAGTAAGATTCACAGGTCATTGGTAAGTTAATGTTTGAGAAGCACAGCACTAAACTACTATACAGTCTTAACTTTATGTACAGAACTAAGTAATCTATTAGATTTCTATTTTTGTATCTGATGCAAAAATGAATTCTCACCTTTATGTTCTTTGGGATATCCCTATTATATATAAAGTACATTATATTGCGGTCTAATAACTAACCCTAACCGGGAATCCAAGGCAGACCTAAGTTAGCTTGAAATCAGTTATATAAAAGATAGGGAAAAAGTCCCAGATCATAAACAAGTTTTCTCTTTATAGCAGTACTAACTACTTCCACATCTGAAACTTTTTTCCCCACAATCACAGTACAGCACATTGCTGTTGAGGACAGATTCTGAAGACAGGCTGCGTGGGTTTGAATCTCAGCTCCTATTTCTAGCTGTGGGACCTTAGGAAAGTTATACAACTCTCTGTACTTCAGATTTATCATCTGGGAAATGAGGTTTAAAAGGATTTTTACTTCACAGGATTGTTGTGAAGGTGAAATGATTTCACATCCTTGTAAAGAATTTAGAGCAGGGTCTGATGTAAGATAAGTTAATAAATATTAGGTACTGGCCCTCCCTGGTGGCGCAGCGGGTTAAAGCACAGCACTGAGAATCTAAAGCCGCTTCCGCATGAGTTCAATTCCCGCCTGCCCCAGAGGTGACCACATGGCGTGACAGACCTCTCCTGACCCGCCCGCTGCTCCCCTCAGCAGTGTACTTCGTCGATCTGCCTCTTCTGTTCCCCACTCTGTCTCTGGTGAAGCCTCTCACCACCCCTGAGCCTCTGGCCTGTACCCCAGTTCTGTATGCACAAATAAATAAATCTTAAAAAAATAAATAAATAAATAAATAAATAAATATTAGGTACTGTAGCTGTTGCTGTTAGCTATGAGTCCTATCTTAGAAAAGATTTGTGTCTTGTACTTATGGGTATCAAACAGTAAAAAATTGACAAGTGTATTTGTTAGCAGAGCTTACCACATAAAGGAATATATTTACCATTAGGACACATATCACAAATTTCAGTTTTATACTTTCTGAAAATTCTCTCCCTAGGGAATTTCCTACCTGTGAGTTTTGCTAGATGTCACCTAATATAACTTGTCCAGTTAAGTCCAAAACAGTCACTTCAAAATCAAAATAAAATATCTTAAAATTATATTTTTTAAATATATATGCTTTTAAAGTGATAAAGGTAATTAGTATTGGAAGTCCATTTGGTCAATGACATGAAATTATGCAGAAAAGTCCAATAAAGAATGTTTGTTTAAAGGCTGAATGCCCAAGAAAACTTTTTGTTTTCTTCTGGGTGAACACAGTTCTGAAATGAATCATGGTTGGTGTGGTGTGCTGTTACTCACATAATAGCTATTCAAGAATACATCTAATGCATGAAGTGAAATCCATATTCCTGGAAAGTACCATTTTGAAAGTCAACATATGAAAGGCTCCAAGATAAAAATACTTGGTGAAAAAAATGCCCTGACAGAGTTTTGTTTGCTACTTAAGGACCCACAGTCAGGTCTGGGAAGAGGCCCCCACATATTTGAAATTTTAACCAAAAAAAAAAAACTTTTGTTAAATTCAGCTTATATTTAGCATGTTATTCTGATTCAGTTAGTTGTAGTATTGACAGAAACACTGTATTATAGGTAAATACATGAATTAAAAGAAAAATTTTATTATATACCTATTCATTTTCATAAAATTGTCCATGGTGATGCTGCTTTGTATTTTTTCTTCCACCCTCTGACTCTACTTACTTTCTCTTCTTGGGTCCCCTAACCAACCTTAATTTTCTATATTTTTTCTTTCTTACCCTTTCTCAAAGAACATCTCTTTTGGATCCAACAGTGACATTTTGTAATTTGTTTTACAAAATGATCAATTCACAAAGGTCTCTTTTTAATTTAAAAATCTAAGCCTAAATGCATATGCTGAACTCACTTTGGGGACTGTGGGCATCATTTAAAACAAAAAGCATGAGGAAAAAGAATAATGTAGAGTAGAACAGAAAAAAAATCACATGTTAAAGGTAGGTGATATTTCAGAAAGTTTTTGTTTATGATGTATGTAGACATGCATACGCATGAGATATGCATTTTCTAAGTTGGTAGGATATAGTTCAAACTTTTACTAATGCGTGAGTCTTGGTTTCCTGACTTTCTATGTGACATGCTTTCTCATATATCCTCCCCTATGTCTCCTCTATCTGTCTTCTGGACATTTCTATTTGTATAATTCATTCAAAATCATCATCCCTAAAATTGAAATTAGTTTTAAAAATCTTTACAACCATTCTGTCATTCAGATTTTAACTTCAGAATTTCCTTTGTAATAATTTATCCCTTGCTACATCAACCTTCCTTTAGACCCATCTTGCTACCAGACCACTTTCTTTGGGCCTTAGCCAGTGGAAAGCATACGGGCCTCCTTAGCAGTTGCCCACTCGTCATCAGACTTCATGAAGACTTATTCAACCGTGTACCCCATGATGGCTGTGGCTGCCTTCAGCAAAACCATGCAAGTCTTTGACCATAAATGTGCCCATCACTATATGATGTAAGTTTTCCTTAGCTATCACTGTAATAACTGTTCAATTCCTGCACTGATTTTTATTGCCCAGCAAGACACACCCTGGCTTTTACACCTTTACTGGTTGTGGAAGAAACTAGTTCCCACTAGCGTATCCATACATTTTCTACCTCTGAACATGATTTCATAATGCTTTACTTCTGCCTAGTTTACCCTCAACTGTAGTTTTCTCCTTACTCACTGACCCAGGGTATTATTCATACCCTGGAAAGTCATTTTGAAAGCTTTCTTTGTTTTTTTCTCTCTCTCACGGTCACATTCTCTTCCTGTTCTTTTCGTCACTATCCTTTTAATTGATATC